ATATCATGTATGTTATGATTGGACATACTTCGCATCTGGCCAGCTGCGATACGCTCCATTGCGTAGTACCGGACTATTTTTCGTTTCTGTTCTCATTCATTTGCTTAGCACCGCAATTGCGGGGTTAGCAGGAGTTAGCACCACAATTGCGGAGTTAGCCCTGCTATTTTGCAGGGTTAGTTAACCCCGTACTATAGGTGGGGTTAGCCAACTTTAGCCCACTTTGGTAAAAACCAGTCTGAACAGAAAGTGGAATAGGCTTAACCCCGTACTATAGGTGGGGCTAAGACCCCCCTTAACCCCACCTATAGTACGGGGTTAAGCAAAATATTGCCAGTGTGAAAACAGTAAAAGCATATTTCACAAACTTTTAAACAACATTTCTGATCATGAATTTCCATGGCAACACTTTCTTTATATAATCATGAATGGCATAATGAGATAAGACACAGCATGAGAGAGAGCAAGAAAATGACAATAAAGAGAGAAAAAGGGACTTAAAAAAAATGACACAAATAAATAATTTTTGTATTCTCTGAATGCACATCAATCATGTAATGCACTATTCCATCTTTGCATTGTTTGTCTCGCTGTAATTAAAGTTAAAAATTTATGGGTGTAATTTCATCCTGGTCAAGTTTGACCTAAGGCTATGATATCACACCAAATTGAAAAAAAAAAATAATTGCAAATCTTCAGTTGCAAACTTAAAAATGGCCTCTTGGGTATTCCAGCCAGTAGGCGTTATTTGGAAGAGTGATAAACAACAAATTTTTCCCCTGAGTAATGATCTAAATCATCTAGTCTTACAAAGATCTAACATCTATATGCCGTGCCAATCATGCACAGAAATAACTCCTATAATTGTGTTTCAATATTTTCTTGTCATAAGAACATGGGGTGATTAACGTTTTCATTTATTTATTTGAATATAAGAAAATATTTTTCCCCTTTTATTTGTTTTGCAATAACATGAGAGTGTACAAAAAGCCTCAAGTGCCTTTCAATACATGTACATAGTATTTTGTCTGCTGACAGAGTTTACACTCATCTGGCTAACAGCAGATAATAAGCTTGCTCTATAGACGGTTACTGTCAGAAGGATTCAATGTACAGTCGCAAGTTAACAGAATGTGAAGAAAAGAAATTGACAATAATTTCAAACATGTTGTAATTTTCATAGCCTAGGTTAATTGTCGCAAGAAAAACACCTGACAAAAAGGTTGTCTCTGTCCTTCCAAAAATATTGGCTTACGCAGGATAAGTTAATTCCCATTGTACCACTGATGTATTGTGTATGGTAGACAGGTAGACACATGATTAATGAGTTGCGACGATGGTTTAACCGAACATTCATGTGATATGAAGATGAACAATAAACCATGAGATGCATACATCTAGGGGCTGATTAATGGGTGTGGATTTAGTGGCAGATACATATCTTAACAACCCATTATGAACCTATACTTAGAACTGTAATCCAGCAGAAATAAGTGCAAAGGATGATACTAACTAACTGAATAAATACATTATCCTTTGAGAAAAGGAAAAGACAAAAGAATAAATGTTCAACACTAACACTTATTAAATAAATAAAGCGAGATACATATATTCCTACTACTGTCATTTTGTTGCTGTTGCTGTGTTGCTGCAGCTACTCCTATTGCTACTGTAAACCCTTTACCTATGGGAACCAGGGAGTTCATGTATTAAGCCTATGGGAATACAATTATTAAGTAGAGAACATGCAAAGCACTTATGCTGATAGCTCATTACCCTACATTTGATACATTGATAAATGTGAAACATTAAAGTAATGATACCCAAATTTAGAAGGCTACAATTTGTGAAAGGCTGCCGATATCAAACTGATTAGAATAAAAGAGGCCTGTACTTTGAAGAGAAGAGAAGGTTTAATTATATCAACAACGGCATGAAAGACCTTCACGCAGCTGGGTTTACACCTCTTAGAATGCAGATGTGTAGAGCAATCAACAACTCCTACTAAAGCTCATTAATGTCAAGCACCTGAGCATACCAGCACCACCTATCCCTTCCCTCACTCTCTCGTACGGAAACATCAACTCAAATAAGAAATGTTGTTCCCTTATTTTTTTTTACTGCATGAAATAAAATTGAGTAGGAAGAGAATACATGTATGCATGTAACTACTGGTATGTATTACCCTAGGATATCAATGGTATACAGTAATGTCATAATACAGGGCTCCACACTAACGCTGGTCTATTTTCCTGGATGTCTAGAGTTAAATGCTGGGGGCCTTGAGCAACAGGCCCTTGTTCCCATTGGAAAGCTTTAGATCGGGGGCCAAGAGCCCTGTTTAATAAAAAGTTGTGATAGATCGAAAGTGAAAGAAAGTCCTTAAATCAATCGTAGACTTAGAAACTCATCTCTGAACTACACAGTTGCGAGTGATTTCACATCGAGATTGATGGTGTATTAATCACAACTGCTCATGAGATGGGACCCTGGAGTAAATTTGTGAGCACAGGACTCATAAGAAGACCAAATTTTTAATGAATTTAACAGGATACCAGAGAAATTATTCTATATGATCAAGGAGATGAAGCAACTCTTGATATTGAAGCGGTTGAGATGGATACCAGGGATGTGTGCCTGAGGTTGTGCCAGGGACCATGCAGGAGGGATGTCTCCTAGGAGCTAACCCATACCAGCAGACCAATCAAACCATGTCAATATAGATGGATCAAATGACCTAGAAACATCACCTGCCTGGGAATCATCCTACAGGGGTTCATATCCTGACCCATCTAGTAAATTATTGTATACAGAGAGTGTTTTACAATTCAAATCATTTTGAGATATAAGTACTAACTAGATAACTATTATAATATATTAGAGTATGCTTGGCTTGACACACTGTTATTGATAAAATAGGCAAAATAGAAAGAGAGAGATGGAGAGAGGAAGTAAGAGAGGGGAGGGAGGGAGAGAGAATGAGAGGGGTGAGAGAGAGGAGATGAAGGAAGAGAGAGAGAGAGAGAGAAGGAAGAGAGAGAGAGAGGGATAGAGGAAGAGAGAAAGAGAGGGAGAGAGGGAGGGAAGGAGGTAGAGGGACGGAGGGAGGGAAAGGTTGGAAAAGACAGGCCGATAGGTGGGAGAGAGAGAGAACTCTTGTAAACAACATATTATTAAATAATGCTCTATCGGTGGCCAGAAATAGAGCTTTGATCTAATTTAGGGATCTGGAGTCTGGTCTACCTGGTCTGATTTAAGAGCATTTGGATACATTACCAGGCAGGGTAATGGGTGATTAGTACATGTAGTCACATGGAGGCGTTCAATATGATTTCTTGTAAACACATTTATTACTCTGTAAAAAACAGCACTAGCTTGTTTGGTAGTTTAGAATCCCTACATGATTTCTCAGGATATAAGAGGAATAATTTACAGTCAAACCTAGGAAATGAATCTGTCGATAAAAACCCAATTCTTGCATCCCCTCAGTAGCATTTCCTTCTTCTACTTGTATTAAAGGAAACACATGTACACATATTGAGACTAACTGCCCCCCCCCCAAATACCACTTTTCTTGTTCCTTTAGAATGGATGGCCTTCAAAAAAAGATTCCAGTATTAATATTTGATTTTTTTTTCTTCATTTGTATTCACTGCAAAGAAAAATCAAAAAAGTTAAAGCACAGTAAAATCATCCTGAGCTCTCAGCCCGATGAAGGAAGATGAGAGAGTTGGACAGTGCTATAATTTGAGGGTGGAGACGTATACTTCAGTTATATCTAATGGCAAAATGCACTTCACGAGTCACTGCACACGGCATAAAGATACATGTCGTTTATTTTCTTTAGAAGAGGGACACTTTCAGGGGTAAATCCTACAAATAAACAAGAAACAAACCTCACGAACATCTCTCTCCTTTCCACTAGTTGGAATTGAGCTCACCCGCATTAAATTTGTAACGGCCTTGTATCACTGATAGAAGTAACGGCTTTATTGCAGATGGGCAGCAAAGTCATCTTTCTCAGGACTATAAAACCTAATTAATGAGAGTCAGACTTCTTGACTCAGTAGCTAATATGGGATTGGAATGAAATCAGACACCTTGATCCAAATGTCATACATATCTTAGTACTGAGTGGAATATTGTTTGCTGCTAAACCTGACAATAGAGAGATCAAAAGAGCACCACAAAGTTGGAAGTGTGGATCATATTACTTTAAAATATATGTACTAGTTTTTAAATTATAATTGAGGGAAGAGTGTGTTGCAAGGAAAAATAATCCTCAAATGAGATGAATACAGCATATCTAATCATGAACTGATAAATAAGTAATTTTCTTTTTCTCTCCCACATATATTGTTCCATCTCATGCACTCTGGCTCTCTCGACCACAAACTCATATACATACATGTATTTTAGTAATTTAAATTGGGAGATTAAAAACAGGTAAGGTGATGTTAGTGGTGGTGGTGGTGGTGGTGGTGGTGGTGGTGGTGGTGGTGGTGGTGGTGGTGGTGGTGGTGGTGGTGGTGGTGGTGGTGGTGGCGGCGGTGGTGGGTGGTGGTGGTGGTGGAGGTGATGGTAGTGGTGGTGGTGGAGGTAGTGGTTGTGGTTACAGTGGTAGTGGTAGTACTGGTGATGTGCTGGTGATGAAATGGATTGGGGAGTGAAAAAGTGTGAAACCTACCCTGGGCAACTCTCTAGATAGCGACTGGTTGTCATAGACGGATTAATTAAAGCATGGGGGAGGGGAGGGGAGGGGAGGGGAGGGGAGGGGAGGGGAGGGGAGAAGGGAGAGGGGAGAAAGAAGGGAGAGAGGAGAGGGATAGGTATGGCTGAAACCTACCCTGGGCAACTTTAATTTATTCATAGCTACTGGCTGTCATGGAGCTACCATGTAAATCCTTGGAGCTTGGGGAGGGGGGGGGGGGGAGGGGAATGGAGAGGGGAATGGAGAGGGGGGGGGGGAGAGGAGCAAGATATGTGTGCATGAAACCTACCCTGGGCAACTTTACTCTCTTCATAGCTACTGGTTGTCATAGACCTATTCCTCAAAGCTTGAAGCTCCCTTGATATGTTGGACAGTCTGTCCTCTTCTATGACCTCATCTGGCGTTGTATCTGTCGACTGAAAAACAGACGAAATACCGTTAGGGTTATATTCTTACAAACATCCTTGCAATGCAGAATAAAGGTTAGTAAAAAGTAGGAGATTGTTTCTGTTATTCATATTATCTATATATTATATTATATACATAATCAGACTATTGTATACAGCATAAAATGTACATGTACCCTTATGTAAACCCTTTGCAACAAACAGAGGGAATAATCAAAAGTTCTAAAGTTAATACTTAAAATACCTTCCCTGCTAATTTTCCTTCTTTGACTCACCTGGAACATTTCATCAAGTTCTTCAATTACTTCATCTGCAGTGACCACGGGCGTGTCCATGTCATCGACGTCGTGATGAGATCGAGAGGAGAGGATCATGGAATGCAGGTCCAAACTCTGAAGAAGCTCTTCATCTTCAGAGAGTTCAAGGTCAAGGTCATCAGTACGAGGCTGCATGTCAAAATAAGAAAACAAAAATCATCATTTATTTGACATCTTTGTCAACAACTTCAGGTCTACTTCTTGTAAATAATTTTTTCAGAAGTTGGGTTTTTCAATGCAAAAGTCTGATGAAAGTCACAAGTTAATATTATCATCATACCTCTGCAATTGATATTTTTAGTGTCAAAATTATAAATTATCTGTTAAGAGCCATAATGGCATTATCTTGCATTCTTAAGCACAAACTTAACATCATTCTATCTCTCAGCACATGGAGTGGTAAATTCAACAGTTTGTTTAATGCTAAATACATTTAATGATAATACAAGCTTCATATCTTCTTTAGATCTATGCCACTATAGGGAATATCCCTTCACTCCAAACGCCTTTCTCCAAATGTCAAGTGCTTTGAAACTGCCTAAAAACATTTCAAATGTTTATAATTTAAAAGTAAGGTGGAAAAAAAAAAGGTTCTAGAGGCAGCGAAGGCACCTACGCATACCTTTTATAGTGTGTGTTATGAGATATGTTTGTTTTTAGGTGCTTTAATGCATCATGTATCGATGAGGCTCTCTGATCTGTATCTATCTCAACCTACATGTACTGTACCTATGAATACAACATGTGGGTTTATAAAAAGTCATGGTCACTCTTGCTTAATAGAGGGAAGTAGTGGCTTAGAATACGATAGAGCTATGGAACATTAAAAGCTCTTAGATCAAACATTTCTTACATAAATGTAGCATATAATCATTTCTTGATGCTTCATGGATAAAGTGGTCGGATTAATAAAAGATGGATAAAAATGGAAAATTACATAGCATTGAAATTACTTTTGGACAATCATTTATTTTACATTTTTCTTCATGTCTATGTACATATACAATACATGTAGAATTAGAACTTCATATGTACTACTACAGTACATGAATGCAAATACATTTTAGTTGTATTAGGCAGAGTCAAGCTATCTTTTCATACAAGACCAGTGATGTATCTCAAATGAATTTCATTCTGACATGTTTGATTCCAGAAGCAATCAGCATTAATGCATGCCCCCTCATTGCTATGCAGACACAGAATCCTAAGGGCAGACTCAACTTATTGGAGCAACACGCGCAGGGCAGGGCATATAAAACCCCACATCCTCTGCAAACATGCCAGGGCCGCTGCTGTGTGACGAGGGAGCACAATGTGGGTACACAACCCACATGCATAAAATCTTACATCACATTCATCCATATAAATCATTCTCTTATTTGTACAAGAAGGCTGGGATAAATCAAAACCATCCTCTTCTGCTTTGACTTCAATTACCCAAGCGACATCGATCTCTCAAAGCTAGTCACATTAAAGTAGGCCTACATGTACATGATTTTTCCAAGGAAGCAGGAATACAGTCAAAAACATGTCCATAAATCTTTTATTGAACTATGGAAAATTGCCTTCAGAAATTTGTGGTATACAGGCTTTTGCTGTCTTATCTTAGGCTGTTTTTCAAACTTTGCAAGTAGGCAGCTTAAAATATTTTGCCTGTTTGGAGCCAGAAGGGCGTTTGTTTGACCTAATATATTAAAAAATTACATTCTGAGTTGTGGAAACTGTCCGAAAAATGGCTTCTTTACTGTATCTTTTGAATCCTGTAAATGCGTCATCATGTAGTTTTACACTACTAACAAACACCAATCAAATATACTATTGCATCAAGCAAAAGAAGACTCTAATACTGTTTTCACACTGGCAATATTTTGCTTGACCCCGTACTATAGGTGGGGTTAAGGGGGTCTTAGCCCCACATATAGTACGGGGTTAAGCCTATTCCACTTTCTGTTCAGACTGGTTTTTACCAAAGTGGGCTAAAGTTGGCTAACCCCACCTATAGTACGGGGTTAACTAACCCTGCAAAATAGCAGGGCTAACTCCGCAATTGTGGTGCTAACTCCTGCTAACCCGCAATTGCGGTGCTAAGCAAATGAATGAGAACAGAAAAGAAAAATAGTCCGGTACTACGCAACGGAGCGTATCGCAGCTGGCCAGATGCGAAGTATGTCCAATCATAACATACACGATATCCGGGGTTAACGAAATGCAGTGAGAACAGCGGGAATTTTCTTATTCCGGAATAGGCGCTAGTACGGGACTAAAAACAGCGTGTGTGAAAAGCCAAAAAAATAGTCCGGGGTTAAGGATAGTACGGGGCTAAGCAAAGTACGGGTTAAGCAAAACCAGTGTGAAAAGAGTAATAGTGTAAGTGTCCTTCACTATCATACTCCAATTATCTAAATGCAAATTTCATGGTCACATCCATTATATGCCACTCATTTACACTGAATAGACTCAATTCAAAACATTTGCTCAATCGAAAACCACAAGTCGCAAAATGTAGCCTTCAATATATCCAAACAGCCTTTCTCAAGCATACACACATGATCATATATACCTCACTGACACTCATGATACCAAGATCACTCACATATTCTTAACAAATCCAGGAACTTTTCATTTCAAACTACACTCACACTTGTCACTCCAACACCATTTCAATATTCTTTAAAAGTCTAAGAAATCTGATATCTTGGGCAAATATGTGAAAAAAAAGGTGTGAAAATTGGAGAGCTTCAGGGCAGTAGAAGTGCAATCACATGTTCCCATCCAACTCAACACTCCGGGGGAAAGGTACACACTTTCTCCACTTTCTTCAATCTCACACATTTTCAGTGAGAAATGCCATGGTTCACAGCTCTTCTACACACCCTAGGGTGTACAATACCAAGATTCCTAGAAGAAAAAAAAGGTATCTGCAAGATTGGAATGGTGGATATTCTGTGTCAGAATTCAATCGAAAAAGGGCTATGTTTAGCAAAGAACTACATGCACTCCACAAAAACCTACAAAATTGTCAATTTATTTTCACCAGGCGTTTCACTATCAGTTACAAGCGGTTCAGTTTTCTCAAATCTTTGCCAGCATGATGTGCATTCACTCATTCGAAAATGAATAATTGTAAGGCTATTGTTTTGTCTGCTGAAAGCCAGAAGGGCATTAACTCATTTACTTTTTACATAGCGGTAATGCATTTCTGGCTCTAAAAGGAAACTTTGATCAACTTTTCTTCATCAAACTGGCTACACTGGATTAAATGGTTTTTAATTGCCCCATATCAATTTATACAACTCTATTAAACATTTATTTTTATTTCTTTATTCATTTATATCAAAGAAATGAAATGGATATAAACATTAAAATGTCAGAGTACACAAATAGCTCCAATAGGCATTGATCAGAGACAGGCCTAAGTGTGCAGCATTTGATAAACATCAACAAAATATTGCATTAACCCACAAAAACAGAGTTAAATTTTTATTATTCATTATATTGCCGATAAACACAGCCTCTCTCAGACTCTGTGGCACCAAGACACAGTTAAAGGGAAGGTTGAGTTTTGGCAAAGGTGAAACATATTTTGTGAGCTTTATCATTATTTTTTGTATCAAAAATTTTACAGCAGCAGCGTCAAATAAAAGTGATTGTTCTTGAAATACCCTCATTCAAATCTTGCATAAGAATAGTTCATAAATAAATCTGTTCACAAAATTTGATGTCATATGCATCTGTATTCCTGGAAACACATATCTCTGTCCAGTGTTCTCACCGAGTCTGATTGTGTATTTCCTATCACTTGGTATTTTTAAAATCTCTCAATATGCAATTATAATTCTCATCAACCTTTCCAAATATCTTCTAAAATGTTTCTTTCAAAATGCAACTGAACTACATGTACCAACACTCCAACTTCTCTTTAAAAGCCAGGAATGAGAAAGTCAAGCACACTGCAGCATTTCAAATGTTTGATGCGACTTATAAATCAGCAGACATACAGTCAAGACAGACAGCAAACAATGCCTTGAGAAGCCAGGCAATCAATCTTTTAAAGTGGGCTTTTATGGTTAATACAATTATCTGATTCATGCCATGGTGAATATTTTTGAGATTGCTTTGTTTTCATACTATCCTGCAAGTTCATTTAATAAAAAGAACTTGCCATCTGCTCAGAGACAGAGGGGCACAGCAACTGTCTTATGTAAGTATTAAGAGTAAAGCCCTTCTGGCTCTCAATAGGTAGTGTATGATTAAAAATGGGGAAATCATTTCATCAAAATAATAAGGGAGAGGCATTCATCTGCTCAAAGCCAGAAGAGCATTTGTGAATATCATTTAGCGCACAGTTCATGCCCTTTTGGATGTCAACTGAGTTTAAGGTTGATAGATAGAAACATACCGGTACATATCATCTGGTGAGAGCCCTAAGGGTGTTAAATCTGATCTTTTACCATGGTTAAATGCCCTTCTGGCTCTTAACAAACGATGTCCAAGTTTTCTGTATTTCTGAATCTACTCACCCTCTTTTCTACAAGTCTGAGAGTAGGCATGTGCTTCCGTCTTGTGTGTGAGTTCTGCCAGTCTAGTGGCATGACCTGTCCTAGCTGATCCGTTACTTGCTTCCATAATCTGAGAAAGAGAGGAGGGAAAAAATAGATGAAAACAAATTAATATCTAGAAATACACAAATTCAAATGAAATTCACATAAGTATGGAAAGATTACACAACTTTATTACTATTAAAAAACAGTGAACATGTGAAAGAAATGTACTTCCAATAAGATGACAGCCTACATGTTTATCTGCACTTGACAACTATGTCTTGCTATAAGCTTTCATCATACCTACAGTACATTTTTCACACATGGTCAATTTTTTTTTTTTTTTTTTTTTTACCTCAAACTAGTTCAAGTGTCCATTTTCTCCATTATAAAGTTCATAACAGCCTCTAAATTTTCTGTCCAATTTTCAGTCATTTAAAAAGAAATTAAAAACATTGGAATGCTCTTCATTAATCCAATGATTTCAAGATTTGTTAAATTTGTCTTTGCTGATCAAGAACAAGCATGAAAGAGGTACAACAATGGGTCTCCGCTGAAGCATGAGGAACCTCTAGAGGTAGGATGTCAAATGCCTTCAGGCCATTCAACATTCAGAGATTACAGGTAAATGCGATATAAAATGATGAGCTGTACTTTTCGACCCCATTGAGAAAACACATGTTTATTCATGTCAGTCTCTAATACCTGATGACCTTTTACCAGCCGTTTGGGACCGATAAACTTCTATGTGATTATGTATCATACATTTTTGATAAAACTGGGAAAGAGAATGCACACCCAGTTGTACATTTAAAAATATACACTCTTTGTAGTAAATGTTCCATATTTAAAAAGGAAAGGAAAGCACTGAAATAAAAATATTTCACAAGGGATAGTAGTCAGCAAAGTCAGGATACTATTCTATGAATTAGCTTTCCATCTCGTAGACTTTCATCTTAACATCTTCTTCCTTCTTCTTTTAAAATGACGAGAGATTGTGTTTTTCGTCATCAGCATCATTATCTTCATCATCATAATCATTATCACCATCACCATCATCATCATCACCATCATCATTACCAGTACAACCACAAATGTCAACACTTTCAACATCCTCCTCCTCCTCCTCCTCCTCCTCCTCATCTTCATTACTAACTTGTTGGTCGCTTCTTGGGTTAAGCAGGTGTTTGGCTGGAGCGTAATGAAATCAGATTTTGCTGTTGAATGATGTGGTTTTTCACTGTAGCACAAAGATTTTGATAATCTTCTGGTTATTAAAAATGGCTTGCGTGGTTAAGAACATTGTTCAGATAATGATCATTAGTTTTTTAATGACATACATTTGTATGCACAATCAAACCACAGCACGTCATTGTTACAAATATGTATATTTCCATACTCTCACATCCAATATTTATCTAAATCTTTATTTTTATAATCAATTCATTTACAAAGTCACCTCAGACTACCAAGAGACTGTTTTGGGGAGTCCTAATATCTCAACTCAGTTCAGTCTGCATGCCACAACGCGAATATGTGATATGACTATACTAATACCATGAATTATTCAATTGTACTGGTATACACCTTCCTTTCCCAGGGGACAACACTAGCAGGATGATATTCAGAATATGACAATGGCCATCAGAATCCATCACCACTAAGCATCCGAGGATGTGGAAGGACCCCCTATAGCTCATTACCGATTAATGTTCCTCCAAGATTAGGAAGGACTCTACAGGGACTGCATGCTGGGAAGAGTTAAGACCCCATCAACGGATTTCAAGATCAACATCAGTGCTTTATAGCCTACTGCTCTACTTTGCCTGACATTTACAGGGTAAAATGCCTCCAAGGCATCTAGGCATTCTGTGAAAGCTGCTCTCAATAGGAAACCAAGAGTATTTGTCACTAAAATAAAAAAAAAGAACACCAAGTCACCATTGATAAAAAATGGATGAGAAATACAAAAATAGAAAAGATGTGAAGCACGTATAAAGGAGAGAGAGAGAGATGACAAAAATATATAATGAGAGAGTCTATCACTGCAGTTTTTATGGATTTGACATTCCAAATAATTATTAAAATCATATTACCATATTAAAAGCATTTACTACTGCATCTCTCTTTAATGTCACCAATATGCATTATCTCTCATTACTTTTCAGAGATAGAGGGGTGTCAAATATATAAAATTATATTTGATTTAATGCCCTTCTAGCTCTGAGAGGACTACTGTAACTACAACAACCAGGCCTACATCTACAATAATTGTTAGCAGTTCCAACATGCATCTCAGGACAGTAGATTACACAGAAATCAGCAGCTACTGACTTTGTTTGTCCGCAACCCCACACACATATAGCGAATGTATAACTTTTTCACAGCATCTCAATGCAATCTGTATATATAAGAGGAAAATAAATCATGTTAAATCAATCAGGGTATCTGATTATCAATAAATTCATAATTTTTTATGATTTATTCCTAGAATTTATTCTATAAAATAATTTAAAGGCAGGATTCATACAGGCAGCAGATAGAGTTTGTTACTGGTTAACACACACAGAAACTCAAGATTGGAAAGTGAGAGAAGAAGAAGAAGTCCTCGCGTAATCGGAATGACCGCAGCCGTTGCATTAACAAAGATAACAGCGAGGAGTACACACACAGTGCCCCTAGACATTCTTTCCATTTATTGATTTTTACACTATGAGGGTCAGCGCTGATACAGAACACCGTATCCAGGCCTATGGCATCACCACTTGTAATAATGTAATTTATGCAAGATCCCACCCCTCTCACTCTCTCTCTACTGTCAATTTTCCGTTGGTGTCCCTACATGTACACATATCTACATACAGGTTTTTTTTCTTTATTCTTCTATTTTCTGTCTTTTTATTTTTAACCATGCACACGTGAGCATGTAGGCCTAAATCTTTGGCAATACTCCTCATAATGCTTTATGCCCTCCTCTAATTTCTTCCTTCTTTTCTGAAAGTTCATTGGCTAATAGATTTATCTATGGGCCTACCCATCTATCATCCCTCTCATATCCCCCCTCCCCCCTCTCTTTCTCATTCTCTCTCTCTTAGTCTCTTTTCTTCTTACTCGCACAGATACAGAACCACCATAAATGAAATTAACACCGTTTCCAGAAAAATCTGAAAAATCTAGTTCACCCTTTCTCTCTTTTCTAGGTTAATCTAATTTGAACCTGTATTTCTCTCTATCCCATTACAAATTCTATTTCAAGTGATAATAACCATGAAGATTAGAACTACATCAGGGTGAAAAAAGTATATCATTCATTCAAAGATTCTCCCTAAAGAAAAAAAAAGGAGAAGACTACATTAAATTCATTTATTAATGGTGCAAAAAATAGATCTGAATCATTGCCTCCCTAACTGCACATGCGAAGAAACTAGTTTTAATATTAGTGACAAATAGAATTAAGAATTTGGGCATAGTAAAAAATAAAAAAGACGTGACATATGTGATTTTGTTTATATCTGTGCAAATATACTTAGCTATGCAATTAAAATGCCCACATCAAATACATTTGTGTATTGGTGATAAACACTAGATTTTTGTTCTTTTCATTCATCTCCTCTTCATTCTCTTGTCTCAAACATATACCTGTACACTGGAGTGTAGGCTCATGAAGGGTCTTATAACATATGTTCCGACAACAATTACTCTGTGGTCAATTTCTTACACTACCGAATTCCTAACTTCATATCCTAGACTCAGCACTATACCAAAATCCTAACGCTAACCCTAAATCTAACCTAAATGTAACATCTAATCACATCCCTAACTCTAACTATATTCTTGATGAAATGAACCCCAAGATCAAATGTCACCATAGCACATTCGGATCACCTCATAAAGAGGTCGTGATAATCATGAGCAGTGTGGGAGGAGGGAGGTAAGTGTGCTAATGGCAATCTCAGGTTGGTTGATAAGTACAGTGCATTAGCTACGTGACTCTCTCAACTTGTCTCGGCTCAGTCTTTCCAACCAGTAGCAAGGTTTTCATCTGGTTTCACTCTGCTCTGTAGAAGCCTTGTGTACATAGTAACTACCTCCTCAACACTTTCTACTATTCCATTACACCCTGTGTGAGAGTGGTTATCAATGACATAGACAGAGTTAGCAGATACATGTACTCTGTAATTGAATTTTCCTTGTAAGAAAAACGTAAGCAGTATGTCAAAAAGAAGGAAAAAAAAGGGGAAGAAATCTTCCAAGCAAAAAGTGCCAGGGTCATAGAAACATAATAAGTTATCTGCTGACATTCTAATGGACATTAAGTGAAAGACACAAGTTCAAATCTTTCTGGCTCACAGCTGATACCTCAGACATGAGAATGATGCTACAACAAAAATGCATTACCCCCAACTTTAGGTCAAGTTTTCAGGAACTTACAAGTTATGCCATGTAATTTATTTGATTGATTGATTGATTGATTGATTGGATAAAGGCATAAATCTGCATAAGAACTCTGAAAAGGGGCGAGTGAGCTCCATAAGAGTGAACAAGTAACAATTGGTTTTAGAGTTGGCTTGGAGTATGTATGGTCAGTCTGAATTAAGTACAAAAATGAACAATTTTTTTTCTCAAAACAATTCAGGATATAAGAACAAGTGTCTAAATAAGAAATTATCTACGTTAGAGAAAGGGGATGTGTGCTTTAAGCATGCCTACATGCTACCCAAGGTTACAGATGGAGCATGTAATACGGAAAAGCATCTCAAGTTGTGTGTTCTGCACAATTTGAGACAGAATCCATTAGACGGAGATCATTCAAGAAGATTACATTTACAGGTGGATTACATAGCCACATGTGAAAATGACAAGACCATGTGATCAATGAACAGCCAAAATGCTGATGTGAGCAAAGAGTTAGCAGAGAGAGGCAGAAAACATTGCTACTAATCTGAATGAAAATGTTGTCCGTGAGTGAAAATCTATGCATCAATTAAATATTGTATTACTTGGAAATACACTTTTGGAACTTGATGCAGTTATAGATACAGTAATGTTCTCCAATGGGATTTCAATTTCGACTAGGAAATCGCAAAT